ATACAAATAAAATTACGGGATAAGATTAATCATATGCAACAATTAAATTACATCACATTAGTTAAGGCTTTCCATAGTACTGCCATGTACCACACTTGATACAGGACAGCTAGAACTAAGAGCACTTGGGAGTTGTTCAAGCCTTGCTTTGACGATGGCTACATTTTAGCAATAATATAACAACTGCTGTATAACAGCAAGTTGGGTTGATGTCTTAAAATGAATTTTTTCCATTCCCTTAACAGCAGTCAACAGATTTGCCTTTATTATACAAATTACACATATCTAGAAGACTTCCATCCTCTCTGATGATCATATTGAACATTTTAAGAAGGCCAAAAAGGCTTCATTATCTTGAAGTATAAAAGATTATCTCAATCACATTTTATTCAGTGTCACATACCATTCTGGATACTTCTCTATTACAAATAAATTCACCAATTCACAAACCTTAAATGATGCTGCTAAAAATGTATAGAGCTGGCTAAAAGTTGGTTTATAAAGTAGATATTTATGGGGGTTTTCCCGCCTGGCTGGTTTCTCTGTTGATTCCTGTTTAAAAAAAAACACAAACAAAACAACACAAAACCCCCAACAACTGTGTATTACCAAAGCAGTTTCAAAGCCCTCTAAATTTCTATTTATTAGAATGTTCATATTCAACATACTTCCCACACAAATGGTCTGCCCATGCTGCAGCTCCTAATAAAGCAAGATACACAGTATTTGAACCAGAACTTTGTATTATCCCTCATTTAAATTTGTTACCTAATTATTTCTTGCTCTCTAAAGCATCACTCAAGAAAAGAGTGAAAAAATTCACTCCTCATCTCAATTAAATAAACGAAAATCTAAATACTTCCTTTTGCCTCCAGACAAAATATTTTTATGCTTTCTCTGAAGGGGATATTTAACTTTCAGATGACTTAGTAAGCTGATGAACGTATCTGGCTGCATGACTGCTAGAGTGAAAACAAAGGAAGGAGTGAGTGTATATGGATGAGGACAGGCATGGCACCCCTTCAGAAGCACCCCAACCAGACCAATGTAAACCATTTGTGAAATGATGCCCAAATATCCATTTCTGCTATTTTTTCACTATTGAAGGTTTGCTAAGGAGAAAAATAAAAGAGGGGAGTGAAGACATTACTTGGCTTAAACTCCACAGGTTTGAGCTACTCTTCACTAACTTCTAGTAAGAGTTACACCAGCTTTACTAACCTGCTCTGCACAGTGCCAATTCTGAAAGAGTACACCATTTAAAACAAAACAAATAAAACCCCAACCAGTTAAGATATGTTGCTAGGTTTGTCACGGAAATGGAACTAACCTGCATTCCAGGTTTGTTCATTTGTGACGCTAAATTCATTGGTTCCCTTTCAAGTGCTTGTAGCATTCGGAACATATCAATTGTTAATTCACTGAACTTGACCTGCAAAAGAGTCAAAGAGTTTATTCTGCCAGATACAGATTAAACAGTATTTCTTTGGAATTACTCAGGTAAGAGACCATTTTCTGTTGGGGATCTGTCAGTATCATCTCTGAATCTCTGAAGACCAGTGAATGACTTTTAGAAGAGCTCACAAAGTCTATTTATTACTGGTCTACCAGACCAGTTCACTGTAGTACAAACCACTACTTCGCAAATTACAGACTTTTCTGGGGTGTTTACAAATCAAGTGCTGAAACCCTATGTACTATGAATTTAGACATCTGAAAAAGATACACAAACTGTAGTTTAGCTATAACTCCCTTGCTTACCTGAAAAGAGCTCAGAGAGATGTCATGAAGTCTGTACAACTTCACTATCATCATCATCTAAAAAACATCTTGAATGTCTTTTGAAAACCCCTTCCTGTTACATCTGAAGTTGCAACAAGCTGGAGTATGTCATGTGAAAGCCTAAGTCAAGCTCTTTCTAGACATATCCCAGAGGCCCCTCATGCTTGAAGATTGTTAAGAACAATCCAGTATATGAAAATCAATTCTATCTACTTAATTGAAATAATTAATATAAGCAATAAAAGGTCAGTACCACAGGTCTAACATCTAACATTTCATTTTTAGCTCTTCTTTCTGACAACCTCTTCTTCTTGCTACCACTGCAAACATCACAATCAAAATATTTTAATGTTCGCCTCTATTGGAATCTCTGTTTTATGATCAGAAGGGACGTCACAGGGGGAAGGACTCTGAACTCCAAAGATACAAACCCAAGTCCCCAGAACTTCTTTTACCTGGTTGTTACAGTTCCCAATAATCAGCGCATCTGCAAGAGCAAGCTGTCCCACTATCATTCCCTGCTCTAGCAATGGAGCTCCTGTTTCAGAAAGCCTGTTGGAGGTGATTACAATGGTGTTGTCATCATTTAAAACCATGACAGGGTCTGCCTAAAAAAAGCAACCAGAATAAATCAGGAATTCAAGAAGACACAGATTTGCAGTCAGAGAGAAGTCCAAAGGTCTTGTCACTTACAGTGAACATTTCATAACTGAGGCAGACTTTTTTAATTAATTTGCCATACATATATTTGTATCTTTGTATGCAGGCTACAGAGTAATGCCTTACCACCTGGAAAAGCAACAGGTCTTAGGGACTGCAAGCAAATAAATAGTACAAGCACATGAAGGTACAGCAAATAGAAAAACATACTTCCTCAAATGACACGAACTCTGCTTCAGCTTTTCTATACCTGAGGAACTAAATGTTATCAACAACCTTACAAATTCACGCAGAATAAACTAAACATTCCTACAACACAGAAGAACCCTGCACTATTTTAATTCACCTTCCCTTCCTTTGAAATAAATGGCAAAGGGGATGAGTGAACAAGAATGCTGCCATCCATTCTGGCAATACTTAAATAAACACTCGTGTTACATAGTGACATCTTGTACTGTCTCATTTGACAGAACAAAAAAAATTTATTTTCCTTTAAACAAATGTCAGAAGTTGGTCACATTACAATTATGCTAAGAGCCTATCAGTTCACTGCCATGCTTGCACCGTATTTTCCCTTATATGCTGCTTATGCATTGCCAATGTAATAGACCAGTACTCCAACAAAATACACTTTGAAACACAATCAAAACATCAGCAAGCTGGATTGGCTTCCACAACATAGAACAAGAGTTGTCAGTCTCTCCAAAATATTGACTATGATAACTGACATGCTTTCAATTCCACCATTTTCTGAACACCAAGAGCAAAAACAATAAGGTGACCAAGCATATCTCAGCTTCATGCTTCTGTCTTCAATATGTTACATGACCAGGTCTGACTCTTCAGACACTTTAATGGCTGTCACTGTTACGCTACTGTGAACACATTTCAATGATTAAATTGGACAGGAATACTGTCCCTGCATGGGGCACACCTGCTTACCACACAGAGGTGGTGATACAGGAACACTTCGGTGAGCAAGTCAGCAAATTTTACTTTTAAACTAACAACTAAAAGAGAATGGTATTCACCTCAATAAACGCTGCCACTTCCTGAAGAACCAGGTTCCATTCCACTTGATCTTCAGTATTAAACCGATGAGTGTAGTCTTCAATTTCATCTGACAGCTCCTGAGGTAAAAAAGTTCAAAGACAGACATAGTCACTTCTTAAACTGAGAGCTTAACACACACTCAGTAACTTTACAATTTGTTTAGCTCTGCTGGCTTTTAAGAACAATTAAAAAAAATAAAATACTTGAGAACATATGCAACACACTTATGACTAACGCGCCAGCCAAAAC